TCCCCCCAGTTAGAATCTACCGCTGTCTCCCGCCACTTCCACCCACCCCCCCCCCTATCCAAGACCAAGGGCGGGAGGGGAGGGAGACCACAGACCACATGCACACCCAGGGGGCCAGGAAAGAAGACGGGGTGGAAGTACGTACAACAGAGTGTGCATCCTCTGCGCCAGACAGCAGCCGTGCTCCGCTTGCCGGTGAGTACGCCTGCAGCCGCTTGGTGCTGGACATGGCCGAATCCGAGTCGAATGTGCTGACTTTGGCAGGCCAACTCAGTAAAAGAGTGTTATTCCTCGAGTATGCTACCGCAGACGGCGCAGAGCATTACAAATGGCTCACTCGCGGCTTCCGCCGGCTTGTAGCGAACCTCGCCCGCCTTGCGAGGAGGAGATGACAGCATCGCCATCGGAGGAGTCGAGCGACGACGATGACGGCGACGGTGGCGTGGCAAGCGAGGCGACGAGGGCGCGGGTCGCTTCGAGCGCGGCAGGTGGGATCGTGCATGCGTCAGGGCGCGGAATGTGGTCGAGGATGTGACCTGCGTGGTTGTGGATGATGGACACAAGGCGTTCGAGAGAGCTGAAGGAGACGGCGGTGTCCGCGAGGGTCATCGGGCCGAGCTCGGCCGACCGCGGCGTCGACGGCGGCGAGCCGTCGCGAAGGAGCGAGTCGAACCACGCCGTGAGCCGCGGAATTTGCTCGGCGAGGAATGGATTGAGCACCTGCATATGCGCCGACTTTTGTGCAAACATCTGCCGGTTGACGAGGGTCTGCAGCGTCGAGCCGAGGATGACGCAGTTCTGCCGGTCGGCGGCGCCACCCAGACCGTCAACCAGCCCGTGGTTGGCCGGCGTCACCACCGCCGGCACCAAAAGCCGAGGAAAAACACGCTGGTTGCTGCGTTGAGCGCCACCTCGTCAGCAGCGTCCGGAAACTTGCTTCGAAGGATGCGGACGACCGCACGCAGCAGCGTGACCACAAACGGCGGCGGCGGCGTGGCAAACACACTGTCGAGTACCTCGAGCACCGCCACCTGGATCGCCGCCATGTTCTGCGCTCGCTGGTCCTCGTCCGGCACCTTGAGCGGGTCGAGGACAAACGAGACGCCAGCCGCGCCCCACACCCGCGACAGCGGCTCGCGGAGCACCGCCGACACATAGTCGCCGGCGTGCCGCTTGGCGAGCACAGAAATGACTCGCACACGGTTGTGGTTGCTGCGGAATAGTGTCCAGGGCGAGTACACGTCGACATGGACGGCTTCGTCGGCAGTCAGGCCTTCAACCAGCCGAAGCGTCCGCGGCCGGCCGGGCGAGTCCATCTCGTCCACAAGGCCAATCAGCGTGTCAATGGCCTCGTCGCGCGCGTCGCGTGGAATGCCGTCGACCACGGCTCGCACAAACGCAGACTCGGGCTCACAAAGAAGGTCCATCACCCGCGTATGGAGCCGCGTGATACGCACCGAGCCCTCTGCCACTTCTGCCGCAGGCATGTCGAGCCCGCCCGCTGCCGCGCACGCCGATCGTGTCGCCGCCCCGCTCGTCCCGTACCTGCCATCGTCACCGGGAGCAAGCAGCGGTGCGCACGGTGACGCGCCCGGCTCGTTGCAGCCGTCTTCGTGTGAGAGCAAAAGTACCAGAAAGAACGAGCCTGTCACTGCCAGCACAGTCAGCGCCATGGCGATGACCACCAGTCCGGGCGCCATGTGCGTCCCATACATCGCCGACGTCACCGCACCCCCATAGATCCAGACTCCAGTAATGACCGCCAGCGGCGCGCCGGCAAAGTATCCGCCGACAACCACCAGGCCGGCCCACGATCGCACCGCGTACACCCGCGAGGCGAGGAGCGAGCGCGAGGCCGCCACATCAGCCAGCACCGCCACCGACATGACCAGCAGCAGCACCAGATACAGGACGTGATGCGAGGTCCACTCCGAGACAAGCGCAGCCTCGGCCGTCGAGGCCACCGCCATGCCGGCCACCGCAGCCAAAGGAAGGCAGAGTGCGAGCGGGAGCACAGCCTTGACCGGCAGCGCCTCGCTTGGTGCCCACGGCAGCAGGGCGGCGTCTAGGAGAGGAGGAGGTGAGTGGCGAAGCAGCAGGGAAGGAGAGAAGGGGCAACGGCAAAGGCAGGGTGCCACGTACAGAGTGTCTGAGCCACGGAAGCAGCGAATGCGACCTGCGCAGGTGCGTGGCGGTCCAAGAGGGCGTAGGTCAGGCAGCCGGCAACCGCCAGGACGAGGTAGCCGCGCCGAAGAATGGGGTGCATGTGCGAGGGGAGGGGAAGGGGGGGGAGGGGGGGAGGGAGGGGCGGTGGAGGGAGTAGAGCCGAGGAGTGGTGGTGTGGGTGGT